GCATGCTTGAATCACTTTTCTTCTCCCCGTCTCGAATTTTTCTCACTTTGATGTTCCTCCCCTCTGTGTAGCCCGAAGTCAGCTAAAGGGCTAATGATAACTATCGAAACGCCTGCCATTTGAAATGAATAAATGAATAAATATTTTTTAAGTTAACTTTGGATTGAGGGGCTAGGTTATAGCAAGCTTGCCCGATCAGGTTAACCGTGGTGGTAACAAATCTTTTCGTAAGCTTTTGCTTTACCGTTTTGCAAAGTAATTCATGGCTTGTGAAATAGTATAAGCACACCGATGATATTGTGTTTAATGTGTTCGTATACGAAGCCCGATGTTCAACTTTCAATTGTTTGAGTACTCAAACGTCTAAGTCCAGGTCTGATTTATGAGGGGTGAGTGTTTGAAAACCCTTTCTTGCTTAAACTTTACGGCTGATTTTTATGGGTTGAATCGGACAATTCTCTAAGGGAGTTTGTTGCTCTATAAATCTTTATAACTTTAAACGCTATACTTAACGTTCTATTTGGTATAGTAATTAAATTATCTGTTTAAATATTCTCTTTGCAGTATTTGCTCATACAATTCTCTCGTTTGTTAATGTGAGACCTCAAGTCGTTCCGTTTTCCGGTTCTAGATCTTTAAAAGGCTACGAATTCTGACTATTTCTTGTCCTCAAATTTCCGATACTCTTATTTTCTTGAAATTTAAAGTACTTGTGTGAATTTTATGGATTTTAAATATTATATTATGCTCATTATTGTCTCTTGTTTGGAATATCTTTTAGTTAATACATGTATTGATAAAATTTTTAATCGATTTTGAGTTGATTTCAGTTGTACCAATAAGAAAGCGTCCATTTTAAGAATAGTAAAAGGTTGCTTACTTTTTTAAATTATGGGGTCATGATATATTGTACTAATTCAATTAAAATTCATGAAATTTCTCCGTTTTCTCTGGTACTATTTAGATCGCCTTTTTGTGGATTTTTATGAGCTAAATTACTCTTTTTAGTGATTTTCCACTTAAGTCGCATCTCTTAATAAAATTCCTCCTAGAGTATGTCCTGTAAATTAGAAAAGGTTATAATTAGCTGGGATGACGTTTGGCAGTAATTGAAGATGTGGTATGAAATCTCTTAAAATGTATTTATATCAAATGGCAGGCTTTTTGATGGTTATCATTAGCCCTTTAGTCGACTTAAGGCTTTACAGAGGGAAGAACCATCACAGTGAAAAAAAGTCCGAGAGGGGGGAGGGGAACAGAAGAGTGTCTCAAAGACGAAGGTAGAAAAGGTAGAAAAAGAAGTGAGGTGAGTACTATGGAAGTGGTAGAATATGGCATACCGTTGGGTGGTGGTAGTTTGAAGTCAGAAGTCAACTGCCGGTTAATAGACTTTTTTGCGTTGAAGTCAGAAGTCAACTGCCGGTTAATAGAATTTTTTTGCCGATAGTTTGAAGTCAACTGCCGGTTTATAGACTTCGAATATGACATAGAGAAGTCAACTGCCAGTTAATAGATCATGGTAATTGAAGTCAGAAGTCAACTGCCGATTAATAGACTTGGGGTCATGATAGTTTGAACTCAGAAGTCAACTGCCAGTTAATAGACTTACTCATGGTAGTTTGAAGTCAACTGCCAGGTAATAGACTTTAGTTTGAAGTGAGAAGTCAACTGCCGATTGATAGACTTTTATTTGAAGTCAGAAGTCAACTGCCAGTTAATAGACCTTTTCAGTCAGAAGTCAACTGCCGGTTTATAGACTTTTTTGCCGTTTGAGTAGTCAGAAGTCAACTGCCGGTTAATAGACTTTTTTGTGAAGTGAGAAGTCAACTGCCAGTTAATAGACCTTTTTGCGTTGAAGTCAGAAGTCAACTGCCGGTTAATAGAATTTTTTTGCCGATAGTGAGAAGTCAACTGCCGGTTTATAGACTTTTTTGCCGCACAGTGGAAGTGGTCGAATATGCCATACAGTGGGGTCATGATAGTTTGAACTCAGAAGTCAACTGCCAGTTAATAGACTTACTCATGGTAGTTTGAAGTCAACTGCCAGGTAATAGACTTTAGTTTGAAGTGAGAAGTCAACTGCCGATTGATAGACTTTTATTTGAAGTCAGAAGTCAACTGCCAGTTAATAGACCTTTTCAGTCAGAAGTCAACTGCCGGTTTATAGACTTTTTTGCCGTTTGAGTAGTCAGAAGTCAACTGCCGGTTAATAGACTTTTTTGTGAAGTGAGAAGTCAACTGCCAGTTAATAGACCTTTTTGCGTTGAAGTCAGAAGTCAACTGCCGGTTAATAGAATTTTTTTGCCGATAGTTTGAAGTCAACTGCCGGTTTATAGACTTCGAATATGACATAGAGAAGTCAACTGCCAGTTAATAGATCTGGTCATGGTAGTTTGAAGTCAGAAGTCAACTGCCGGTTTGTGTGAGTACTGTGAAAATGATCGAATATGACATGGAGTCAGCGAGTACTGTGGAAGTAGTCGAATATGACATACAGTGGGGCGAGTGCTGTTGAAGGGGTTGAATATGACAAGCAGTCGGGCTGATTGGTAGTTTGAAGTGAGAAGTCAACTGCCGGTTGATAGACGTAGTTTGAAGTCAGAAGTCAACTGCCGGTTGATAGACTTGATGGTAATTGAAGTCAGAAGTCAACTGCCGATTAATAGACTTGTACCGTTAAAGTAAGATGAGTACTTTGAAAGGGGTCGAATATGACATACAGTGTGGGTGATGGAAGTGTTTGAAGTCAGAAGTCAACTGCCGGTTAATAGACATGGTAATTGAAGTCAGAAGTCAACTGCCGATTAATAGACTTGTCATGGTAGTTTGAAGTCAACTGCCAGGTAATAGACTTTAGTTTGAAGTGAGAAGTCAACTGCCGATTGATAGACTTTTATTTGAAGTCAGAAGTCAACTGCCAGTTAATAGACCTTTTCAGTCAGAAGTCAACTGCCGGTTTATAGACTTTTTTGCCGTTTGAGTAGTCAGAAGTCAACTGCCGGTTAATAGACTTTTTTGTGAAGTGAGAAGTCAACTGCCAGTTAATAGACCTTTTTGCGTTGAAGTCAGAAGTCAACTGCCGGTTAATAGAATTTTTTTGCCGATAGTGAGAAGTCAACTGCCGGTTTATAGACTTTTTTGCCGCTTTGAAGTCAGAAGTCAACTGCCGAATAATAGACTTTTTTAGGGTAGTTTGAAGTGAGAAGTCAACTGCCAGTTAATATAACGAATATGACATAGAGAAGTCAACTGCCGGTTAATAGACTTTTTTGCCGTATGAGTATACGTTGCCCAGGGTGCACCACGTCTAGGTAAGTCTATCGCACACCCCAAATCTCTTAAAATAATTCCTGGCATTTTTGGGTGGAGATTCTTGCCTTGTGAACCCGGAAATTGCAATATGGATGAATTATTCCTTTTCTGCTCCACAAACCATGACATTCATATTTGTTTCTTTCTATTTTGTTTCCTCAAGGTGTAATTTTTCGCTCAGTTTGGGTATTCGTAATAGTTTATTCTATGTTCCACGCAGAACTTTCTACAATTTCAACTTTGACTTGTTTCTAATGGATGCAATGTATGATTCCTTAGGTCATCAATACTTTTTCCCTAATAAAGTTCCCATAAAAGCTTCTTTTTCGCCCACAGTAGTAATTTGGTGTAGCGAGGACAAGTTTATTATTGTTAAGTCAAGATCGAAATTGACATGTTTTCCCAATCATTTTTGTTAGTCTGGAAGAGTTGATGAAATGACACACAAATTCCCAATCCAGTCGAGTTGCCTTTGCACTTAAAGTGTGATTGTGTAGTTGGCCATGATCAAACTATTTTTGCAATAATTGCTCTATAGTAACCTGAGGATCTGATTCACGCAGAGGTTTCAGCACTTCATCACGAACATTTGTAGATCGTCTTTATTTTGACTCAAGTTAAAATCCTATTGAGCCATTAAAATTGTTTCAACTGAAATCGGTATTGTCGGATCGTAAACATTTGACCATGCATTTTTAGTGATGACTTAGGGGGAGGAGTGGTCCTGCCGACGTTCAAGTCCTCATGGAAGGAGAAGAGCAGAATTCAGTGTCTGTCTGACGTGTTTTCTCTGTCTGCTTTGTTTTATTGTCGCTATTGCTCATGAATAATGTTGGGGAATTTGTCTCGTAGGCAGATCAAACTTGCAGAGTTGTTTTCTTCACTTTGTCTGGACACAAACTGAACTCAAACATTTGTTTGGAAAATGGGCGATTTCTTTTATGTCTGCATTGATACTAAGATCCTTGTTATAGGAAACTTTTATTCGAACCGAATTTTTATTGCAACAACCAAGCTGTTGTTTTTCAAAGTGGGAAAGTACATTGCCGTTGAAGAAGATTTCCCGTTTTTATTTCTACCCTTTTGGTTACATGACGTCACAAGTACTTTCGAATGTGTTTGTTATCCTTTGTTCTTTGTTAAAATGTTCTTCCCTTTCTTTTGGTTAATTGGTTTTAGAGATTCGTGTTCTTTTAGTAATTATCACCAAATAGCTGCGTGCTTTCTGCTTCACACCTTCGTAGGTGATATTTTAGTGTGTGTTTGATGGTGGTTCTGGCTGTTACTAACTGTACTTAAGGACGGAATCCATTTTAAGTAAAATATGAAACTTAAATCGGAAAGTAATCGAAGTTTAATTGTTCCAAATGACCATGTTACTTCCAAGAGTTTAAATTTGGAGATTTCGAACTTCGTTTATTAGATCGGTTAATGTCCTTGGCTTTCAGAGCATATTGGCTGACCGATTCAATTGTATAACTGATCATATCATCTCAAAAAATCTTCCAGCCGCTAGTCTATAATAGGGTCAAATTGTTTGTGGTAAACGGGAACTGATTAAATTTTACGTCTGTTTTATTATTTGTCCTTGGGCACTTATTATTATATTACGTTGTTTATGTATTTTAATGAATGTTCAAATGGGTATTTAGAGATTAAAATAAAGCTGTTCTGTAAATCTTCCAATTATGACTAAAGTCATATCTGTGACATTTCAGATCTTCATCTGCTTGAAAGACACTGGAAGTGACGAAGACAGTTTCTTTCAAAATTTTGTCTACCTTCAACGCTCTTCGAGTAACACCGAACGGAAGGACTTGACCTGGACAACTTGTGCTGATGGTTGCAAAATTGGAGGATTTGAAGGTCAAGGTTGTGTTGTCATAGGAACTCGATCTGGCAGCATAAATCTCTTTTCTCTTCCTACTCTCGATTCGGTAATGACTTCATTTGTCTTATATCGTTTCGCGTGTTTTCTAAAGTAGGATTGAATTCAAAGAGAGCTTAGTGATATTTTCTTACCTGTCTGCACTGAGTTATTATAAAAAGTTGGGATCTACTTATCAAAAAAACTACCTGCTATTGTTTTCTCTTCGTTGGTTGTTGTGTATGCCTAGTCTTGTGTCGCAGAGTTCGCAGGGCTGATATTCTTTCCTGCACATCCAATTATGGGAGGGAATAATTGTATTGGTTTGCCCTTATTATAGAATGCTTGCTTCTTATTGTAGGGTTTCCTCGAGTGCTATTAAATTTACTTTATATAAGGTTTTTATTTATTTATTTCAAATGGCAAGCATTTTCATAGTTTTTATTAGCCCTTTAGCTGACTTCGGGGCTTCATAGAGAGGAAGGAACATCAAAGTGAGATTAAGTCGAGAGACGGGAGAGAGTAATGATGCACGGACGTAAAAGATAGAGAGACAGACACAAAGGTAGAGAAAAGGTAAGATGAGTACTGTGAAGTAGTCTAATATGACATACATTGGGGCCATGGTAGTTTGAAGTCAGAAGTCAACTGCCAGTAAATAGACTTTGTTGCCGAGTGAGTATACGTTACCCAGAGTGCACCACGTGGGGGTAAGTCTATCGCACACCTCACCTTATATAGGGTTGAAGAGATTTTAGTTATTTTCTGGTTTCCTACTTTTTTTGCCGCATATTTTGAAGAGTTGTTTTCTGCATAGTTTCCCTTTCTACACATCCTCGATTGAGCCTTTTGTGGTTCTCCTAGTCCCAAATTTCGATATCGGCAACGCGGATAATTGATTTATTTGCTTAATTCCGCCCCCTTCCCCTTGAATTAACCTATTGGGGAGGTGTTGATTACGCTTTTCCTACTTGAATGAAGAGTTTAAATAAGCTACGTTTTACAACCGGTCTTCCATGTTTTCATTTCCAATCATTTAATTCGCCGCATTTTACGGTGTTCTTCTTCGGCCTTTAGGACCTTTCATATTCCCTAGCATAATTTGCACTTGCCTGGCTTTTTTAACGCCAGAACGGATCTAGCAGATCTTATTTTGATTTTGCGACTGATGTTAGCACCTAAGATCCAGTAAACGCCATGCAAATTTTCGTATCCTTTGGGTTTTAAATCAAATACTTAATTAATGTTTATAATGAGGGCAACTTTTTAAATGCTCAACTCGTGTATAATGGTGGCATCATTGATATCAAATGGCAGGTTTTATGATACCTATCATTAGTCCTTTAGTTGACTTCCGGCTTCACAGAGGAGAGGAACATCAAAGTCACAAAAGTGGAGGGTGTGGGGAGAGGTGATCATAAGTGTATTTCACAGAAGTGCTCTATCGCGTATCCCACGGTAACATTATGGAGTCTGGTATTCTTTCCCTGTATAAGCCAAGCTTAACCTCTTCCTTTGGCCATTCACTCAAGGTTTCCAACTTACCACCTGCACAATTTTACCGAGGATGATTGAGAAGCATCTAGCCTATGAGAATATTTTCTAACTTTTAAATGAATGAGAAGGGGGAACCATGGTTTTGGGATAATTTGAATCGATTTCTTGAGTTTAAAGAGTTTGAGTCACTTACTCAAATCGATTTCATTCGACATGGGGCTAATGATAAATATCGTAAAGCCTGCCATTTGAAATAATAATAATAATATCATTCGACATTCAATGCTTCCGTTTTTTGTCCCTCGGAAGCGTTGATTTAGTGTTTACTCTTAATTACGAAAGGACTAATAAGAAATACAGCTCTGCAAATTGAATTACTCTACATCGATAAAGCAGCCTCTCACCAAGCGAATATGTTTGTTAGCAAATTTGGCGAAAACTGTTCAAGAAGAATGACACTACACAACAGGCTCTTGTCTGAACAATCCCCCCCCCCCCCCGAGACTCTTGTCGTTCATATTTGTGGCAATTAAGGCGCTTAGCTTATCGATATGGTGACTTAGTGACCTTTAACTGTCACTTATGCGTAAAGATTTTCACTCATTAAATTGATATGCTATTTTTTAGGTTTCGAAAACTTTAACGTTTTCCTGCACAAGTCCAGGTACCATCCTTCATCACTAAAAACTTGTTATTGAAAAAAAACATGTTTTCCAACTCCACAATAGTCCTAATTTTATATCTGATGTCCTTTAAACACAGCCTTGAAAATAAACTTTTCTGCGCAAATAATTCGAAAATAAATCAACAATCTCCATCAATATCCTCTTTCCTTTTTAGCAGACCATTTTTTTGAAAGAGAAATTGGGGTTATGGTTCTGAAGTGATCAAACGCAGTAGCAAATAGCCCGAAACTAGCCTTCATGCTCTTTTTTGCATTATTTTTTGTTTAAAGTGATAGTTGTATTGGTGCTTTGTCGCATTCACTTAAATTTTCGCTTTTTACTTCGTTGAACCAACTTTTATGGTAGAAATTAGTTTTAATTTTAATTAACTTATTAGTTAGTGCATGGATTTGCAGTCTATTTGTGTATAATTAGTGTTATGACCACCAATTACCGAAGTTGGTTCAAAGTGCTTTTTGTCAAGTACTTACGTTTCTACTTGGTTGGCTATTACGGGGTCTTCTGTGGAGCCGGAAATTGTCCTTATATTGTCTAATTTCAAGGTCATCTTAAAATCGTAAGCTTTCAAGTCTCATTCCGAGACAATTTTGTTGCTATCCGGGTTCTAGCCACGCGTACAGCTACGTGGTCATAGGAGTGAAGTATAAATCACCCAGGCACACTGCTACCTAAAGTTGTAAGTTGACTTATATGGCAACTTCAGCAGCCAGTACGGAAGAATTTTTCCCAACATCCAGGTCAGCGTGGCTGGTCAACAATCAGTGCTTGGGAAGAGAATAGTGGCCATTGGGAGATGTAGTCGCTTCTCCTTATCTCGTCCCGTTTAGCACATCTTTCATTCTCTTATAGATCTTTGTGCTCTTTCATTTCATGCAAACTTGATTATAACCTGTTCATTAATAATTATATGTTTACTCCTCAAGGACGTGTGTTGTCGCCCCCTCGTTAATTCAATCAGTTGGGAATACAAGTATCTATCCTCTTGAAAATACTGATAATCTGATTGTTTATAATTGTCTATTTATTTAACGCACGAATTCGACACTTTTCTTACCTGTCACAGTCTTAACTGTCATAGAATCGGACGAAGTAACGAATGCTTATAAAAGGGTTAATGACTTCCTACTGCGCCATGGATGGAGCACGCTAATTTTTTTTATTATATTACCCCACTTCTAGATTGAGTTCATAATTACCAGCAAATTGTTGATTGGTTATGAGCACTAACACTCAACACTTTCAAATGGTCTACCATATGCTTCTCTTCTTATTTTAGTTCCAATTTTGCTTAATGAAAACTGTTGGTGTATGGGTTTGAAATTTGCCGTAGTTAGTAATAAGACTATTTGAGTTATAAAATCGATGAAATATTGAAGACGATGGAGTGGAATCATTATCAAAAGTAGGCCATCTATGGCATTCGAATTCTTACTTTCAAGTGTCCGAAACGCTGTTTACTTAAAATACGTCTATTTCGCGCAAATCATCCAGTCTTTTACGTTTTCATTTTTACCGCTTTTTTGTTCCAAGCACTTAATCCTATTCTATGCTCATTCTCTGTTCTATCGATTATTTTCATCTTATAATTTAATTATTTATTAAATTTATTTTGTACTTCCAAATTAATCACTTGTGACCCTTTCTTTACAAATAGTTTGTTTTATACTTGCGACAATTCCAAATCCATTATATTTGCGTATTTCTTTTCTCTGGTGGTTCTTATATGCTCCCGTTTAACACATGGAGCCTGTGATATTTTTTCTGACAAATAATGCTTTTATTTTTTTAAGTATTTTACCAAAATTTTCATTGAACTTAAGTTTGCTTTCTTGCGTTGAGCTTTAGTTAGATGAAAATGAGATCACAAGAAAATGTTTGCTAATTAAATCACAAAAGGCCAACGTTAGTCGAATTCTAAAATGGTGGGATCTAAATGTTCGAGAAAAAATATTTTTTGGCACTAATTCTATATTTTTCTGTCCAATGATTTCAGTTTCAATGATGACCACTTTATTAGGACTCTTACTATGACAGTAATTAATGCCCTATCCTACTCCGATTTATCTGAAAGCAGAAGAAATTGCACGCCTTTGTTTACTCGGGTTAGTAAAATTGGCTGGTTTCGTGAGGGTATTTGAGGGCTCATATACCTATCTTAAAATAAACTCCACTTGAGACGCAGTGAATTGAACATGAACGACTTCAGTTTCGTCTAGCTTTCTTAGTTTATTTGTCTTTGCAATTGTTGTTTCTGAGGTATCCTGAATTCTTTGGCCGTTGTCTCCAATACCTTTATAGGGTATAAGCCCTTTAAAAGTTGTGGCCATTAAATTGACCTCCCGCAGTTTATCAGACACCATTGGGTGTGGTCATTTTTTACATGATTCAGAGTGTCCGAAATCGGTTATTCTCAACACAATTTCTGTGTGGACTCTTCTTTCTCCCCCCTTTGGTTTGCTTAAGAAGAGGATATGGCACTTCTGCTTCTACCTCATGGGTCCATAATTCGATTTCAATTATCAGAAAATCGGTTCATGAAAATGATTCTTCTTGCCCGTTTTTCCAAAAAATGTAGTTATTTCAGGTAAATGCGCTTAATTTTAAGTAATATTTTCACATGCAAGCAGAAAGTAAATATTGCAATCGTCCATAGAAGGAAAATGCATCGCGACTGCTTCAAATCGTTGTTTCCCTTCCCCATGTTGTTTCGGCGTGCCGCTCAACGTTTGTTGGACAGGTAGTGCTGGAGTTGGTGAAACAAATGCCGAAATTGCTAATTCGGGGAGCTTCGAAATTGCGGCAATTAGCTAAGACTGTGCTTGACAGCTGACAGCATTGATCATCATTGCTAAAAAGGGCAACACACACGAAGTTGTGTGGGCCAAAGTGCATCCAAGGGACCACGAGGAAGAATTGAAGGAGAGTGTTTGCGCGCGGTTTGAAATAAAATCGCAGTTTGCTTTATGAAGTTATAAACTATTTTTAAGTAACATGAATTTATTCATACATATACGGGATGTGCGATAGACTTACCTCCACGTGGTGCACCCTGGGCAAAGTATATTCATACGGTAAAAAAGTCTATTTATCGGCAGTTGACTTCAAACTGCCATCACCTCACTCTATGCCATATTCGACAATTTTCATAGTACTCACCTCACCTTTTTTCTACTTTTGTGTTTGTCTCTTACATCTTTGAAACACTCTTCTGTTCCCCCCCCCCTCTAGACTTTTCAATTTGATGTTCTCTCCCCTCTGTGAAACCTGAAGTCAACTAAAGGGCTAATGATAACCAACAAGACGCCTGCCATTTGATATAAATAAATTCATACATATGCTTACACATTGATCTTCGAAACCTTTGCGAGTGCATAATTTGCGAATCGATTTCGGACAATATTTCCCTTTTAAACTTCGAATTTGTTTTGAAAAACAGCACTTAAAAGCTTAATGTTAACCAATTCTCAACTTTTCTCTATTCAATTGAAATGCCTTTCTAAGCTAGAGTGGTAGATGAGGTTATTATGTGAGGGCGTATAGTATGGTTTACTAATTGCTTCAAAGTTTCTCTCTTAAAATATATATATATATATATATATATATATATATATAAATATGTATCAAGAAAAATTTAAGAGTACAGATTTTGTGAGGAGCATTTGTCCTGCCTCTTTACTGTTGAACATATTCTCCTGATTGCAACTCCTTTGCCATTGGATTGCAAGGTCACTTTCTTAGCTCACATCCAAACTCAATATTGTTAACAATCTCAGTGGCCTACACGTCTTGTCAGTGTCAAGGAAAAGCCAGTCTCGGTGTTAAGGTTGGACTCGTGTTAATGAATTTAAGGAGTTGAAATATCAAATAAGGAACAAGTAAATAGGGTAGCATATAAGCCACGAAGCGCGTTTCTACTGAGAAATGCGAAGTAGGCTTAGGTACTAACGTCACCAGCGTCGTTGGTCACTTGCTGTCACTATTTTTTTTGCTTTTCAATATTTTTTTCGATTATTTTTTCCCCATAAGCCCACGAACATTTCTGGGCTTTTGCTTTGTTTTTAACCTTATATGTTAGGTGCCTTCTAATAAATCACACGCCGATGGGTACGAACTTGATATGGCTGCTGCGCTCCATAAAGCACTTTCCTTACATAATATTGGTGATTATGAACTTTCTTTCTTTAGTTCTTAGGGAAATCTATTTATCTGGCTCATACAGAAAGCAAATGTTTACCGACGCACCTAATGGTTGGGCGAGTTTCCGGGTGCTGAAATATAGCCGCCCTGCCTTTTACGGCTCTGTATTATGGGATGACACCAACTAGGGTGAAGCTTTGTATCGATTAAAATGTCACAAATAAATCTTGGGCTTCCATTTAATCTTAAAATGCTCTATAAACCCCCTTTCCATAAGTTTCAATAGAATGTTGAAGCTTGTCTTTTTATTTCAGAAGCTTGTCTCAATCGAGCCTTCATGGTATTTTGATCAATGCCATGGAAAGGAGGGTGTCACCGCTGTTAAAATTATTCGCAATTCCCTTGTCATTACCGCTGAGCGTCGATACGGAAGAGTTCGTCGATGGAAAATTGTGGGCGGATCTGGTGATGGTTTAGGCTTCGGTCTCCAACCATTAGATCAGATATTGAAGCCGTCAAATGTCCCATGGATTGGATCTTTCTCACTTGGACCCTCAGGAGAAATTTTGGCACTGGGTTTCATTTCAGTGAGTTTAATTTAGTAGTCTACTTTTTTAAAAATTTATTCCAATTCAATTTTTGATACCTCTAGTTTCATTAAATTTGGGCCTCTAGAAAGGAAATGCATTCGTTAGCCTAATCATTTTTTTCACTTTATATTTCATATGCTTATGGGCTCATTTGGCGTGATTACTTTCTGGTAATAAATGCTCTTTGCGAGTTATCTGTTCTTTGCTATGGTTACGGCTTTGTTCAATTCATGTTTGGGAGATTTGCATTGATTTCGTTTGAATTAATTTATTGTTTTCCATGACCGGAGCAAATCAGAGAGTTGCTGACTGAACACAGGACGGAGAGTAGATGGTGAACAATAGTGCTATATTGATAAACTATTTATCAACTATAGTAGCTATAATTTGGTAAGTCACCACTTCACTAAAAATCAATTTCTACTTATCTCGTTTTCACTCGCTTTTTTAAATCGATTTCAAAGCTTGTGAGTAGCAATTACACAATCTTAGATGTGCATTTTGATTGGGCGCGAAAATTTGCAATTTCGTGTATTTCTATTCGCGATACTTTATCTTTTTACCCCTTCCTTTTGACCACAATTTACTTCACTTAATAGAATTTGGGGGCTTGTTCTAAGGCTCTACTTAAATGCATCTTCATGTATCACATATCTAAATAGTCTTCCATTTCTACACTATGGTATTGGCAATTGAACTCTCTCCGAAGTCTCTTTAACTCAATTTGATTTGTCGTTTCCAACTAGGTTTCCAATCCGTTTCAGTGACTTTGATCTATTTTCCTCTCTTTGCCAGTTGATTTGGTTCACCTTTGAACATTTTCTTTGTTTGTCCTGTTTATCACTTTTTTTCCCACAGCGGTCAATTCTAGCACTTAGCTCCGTGGATATAAATAACACTCCTTGGGTGATGAAATATCATCGATTTTTAATACTACTGTCAAGAATATTTATTTTAAATGGCAGACGTTTTGATAGTTATCACTACCCTTTAGCTGACTTCGGGTTTAACGGAGAGCAGGAGGAGCATCCAACTGACAACGTCGTGAGGGGGGGGGACTGAAGAGTGCTTCGAAGGTGTAAAATAGACAGACACAAAGGTAGAAAAAGGATGAGGTGAATATTGTGGAAGAAGTCGAATATGACATACAGTGGGGTCATGGTAGTTTGAAGTCAGAAGTCAACTGCCGGTTTATAGACTTCTTTGCCGTATGAGTATACGTTGCCCAGGGTGCATCAGGTGGAGGCAAGTCTATCGCTCATCCCACTGTCAATAATATGGGCCTTGGCCTCCCTACGTATGAACTTTTTCTCTTATTCAAGGACTTTTGAAGTGTAGCTAATAGTGATTTGGTTATTTGGTTGCTTGAAAGTTTGGATAGACTTCTCAAAGCACTTAAATTAGGTGGTATTACCTGAACTGGTTATACGAACCCAAAGGGCCAATTGTTTTCTTCTGTTAGCATTCGGTAATATCTAATCATTTTTAATCATATCAATGTACAAAATAAATGTTTGTTAAGATTGTCACATTTGACTACAATTTGCGCATTTTTGTAATTGTTTCGTCGATTTTTTCTCTAGTTTTTCTTTCTGTAGTTTTAGCAATTGGTTTAAGTGTTTTTTTCTTTTATTTCCATATTCCTGAGGTCTTTAGAAGTACTGGGGTTGGAAATGTTCATAATCGCATTTGCGTTTATTAGTTGTTCTTTAATTTTTTCCAAATTCCCAATTTATAATTAAAAGTTAATGATGTGTCAGATCCAAAGTTATAATAATCCAACTCTGCAATAATTGCAGATCCATATTCGTACAAATCTTCATCTATATCGGGGATACAAACATAACAACGTGGGAGGACCAAGGAACTGAAACAATTCTATGCGGTGGGTGAACTGAAATTCCTCCAAGAACCATGGAGGGTCTGATAGTGAAATATGTAAGGTAGAAGTATTACACCACGGCACGCAGACAGCTCGATTACCTCAGAAAACAGTTTTATCGAGATGCCCAACTGTTTTACTTCATTTCTTATTGCATCGTGCTAGGCAATAACAATGGCACATTTTAGTAGCGTTTATTTCAGTCGTATTTTCTTTATTGAATCGTTAATTCTCGTCATTTTGAACAATCGTTGCCTTTTGTAATCCAGTGGATTCCAGTTTAATGGGCTCCAGGTATGGTTGTCTACTATCTCAATGGTGATTGTTTCTTTTATTACTCTTGAACTTTATATATGCCAAGGAGGAGGGGGGGGGGGACGGTTGAGCCCTGTCTGTGTTTGTGATTGTCTCTGCCAATATGCCGCCCAATTGTCTTGTTATCAACGTCGTTCGGACCTTTTCACAACCTTATACCACTAACAATAGAGGAGCATTCACACATCGTTTGGTAATTTATGGAAGCACACCCGTTGAGTACTTGGCTTAGTACAGTCTTCCTACTGTGTACTGTTTATTTGTTCAACGGGAATATGCGCGACGTTTGGTTGATAACTATTCCCCTTCATCTTGCTTATGGATTGAGTATATCAAAGGTGGTTCGTTACATAAGCGGTTGTGGTGACCGTACGCTAACTTTTTTCGTTGCTTTTGTTTTTCGGAACTCATGTATTTATTTATGAGAAGGCGAATTAATGTCCAAATGAATAGTCTGTGCTCTCTAGCTTCTCTTATCTTAACTTGAAATAAATTTGAATACCAGTTTGGGTTATTGAATAGACTCACCTTCATTTGTTAAAAAAGGAAACAAATAATTAAGTAATCTTGTTTGTTCAATTGATTACTATCGTTGCCTTCACATTTTGTTTTGACATTGAAAACTAATGCCTTTCGTGGGCTTAAATCGTTTGAATTGTCCTTAATTAATTTATTTGTATATAATCTCCCCTAACTTGGCCAGAAATATTTCGTGAAAGAATTTTTGAATGCGTTTATCAAGAAATACGCCACTAAGATTCGAGTGGAATGGAGAGTGGAACTTGGTGAAAAAGTCTAGAAATAAAAGTGTTCTTCTTCATTCTATTTTAGCATTCAGAATTTATGATTTTAGCACTTATTTTATATATTGGCATTATTCTATTAATATTCCTTCTTTGAAAAGTTAATAACTTGTTTCCTTGGATAAATAGTTTGGCAGTTGTTGTGTGAAAATTATAACTTTTCTGCTGTAAATCTAGTATTAAACTGTTTTCCACTTAAACATTGTTCATGATTCCGAAAGATCATTCCACACACACACACACACACACACACACACACACACACATACACACACACACACACACACACACACACACACACACACACCGCACCGAGGCTTTTTAAACCGGTAGTCTGTAAGATTATTTCTTTCGTGAAAGCATTTTGTTGCCTCTTTCTATTTGTGCTTGGGCTAATTTTTGAATGCATGTCCAAAATGCAATTAATCATTCGAATAGCAACAGTCCCTCCCTACCCCTCCCCCTGCACTTATGTAAGTACCTTACCTCTCGCAATTGAGAATTCTAGTGCCAATGTCATTTCCTGCACATGATTGCCCATCTCCTCTCTCCCTCTCGTCCCTTTTAGAATTAGCATTAAAAGCTATTTTTTTCAAGTCCCTTCTCATAATTCTTTTTTTGCTTTAGCTTAGGCAATAATATTTGCACAGTGTGCTTTTCCATTGGGAGTGGGAGTGGGGGGTGGTTGAAATGCACTTAGTATGAAAATGGAAATGATAGGGAGTACATCCTCCATTTGATTCACCCGTCAAACGGGATGGAAGTTTCGGTAAAATGTGGCTCTTTTTTTTGTACAGCCTACGCCATCTCTTTGTTTTTTGGGTGGTTTGTCAATGCCTTTCAGGTTTCGGGTCTCTTCTTGTCTACAAAATGGCACACTGAGTTTATTTTTTGGCCTTTTTTAAGGGTGTCACAGTAGAAAATTTAATGATAATTTTAAGAATCAGTTCATTGAAATATCTTCCTCTATACTATTATCAATTTGTGAATTATTCTGTCGAGTGAGTGATCAAATGTTCTCAATTCGTTGACTGTTCTACGACTTTGATTGCCAACTTGCAATAAATATTGAAACTAACTTATTTACTTATTTAACTATCACATTTAAATGGGATATAATCTACTAAAGTCCCTATTATCATATTATTTTTAATAAAATCGCAAGACGCACAACATTTTATAATATAAATCACGTGAATAAGAATGATTAATTGCCAACAACGTACGAAACTGTCTAATGTGCACCTTAAAATTTAATACGTTTATATAAATCCAAATTCAACCATAAATATTCCGGTTAATACTTGTAATTATCTCAAATGCTTTCCAAGTTATCGCAACCTCAATCAGTCTAGCCATTTAATTAGTCCTTTGAATCTATGAACCGCTTCATTTATTGCTTGAATGCTCAACCAAACTAACACGTTTCTAATTTAATAAGATTTTGGAATCTGATCTATTTCTTTTTGGTTCATGATTTGCTTACTAAATGTAGCTCTGTTGTCTAAAATTAAATATGCTAATACTTTTCTTAAATCAGACCCATTAATTTTGAATTTATCTTTTAATTACTTTCTGGTTTCTATTCGTATTTAGCCTAGTTCACTTCATTTTAACCTGGCTTATTCCATTGCTACATCCTTGTCAATCATCAATTTGTCCTTTCTATTTTCTTGCAATTGGTAGGTCGTTGAAAGACAACCCATTGTTGATTAAAAAAGTATTATCGATTTAGTATAGGGGATTACATTCGTATGCAACTGCTAAAGTAAGTCTAGAAGATATTCACTTAGGCTTATTAGGAAGGTCACTTCACAATCCTACTGACATTCAATCCACGACATGAATTTTCCTCATCACTGACGGCGATTTCAACTGCTGGCATATTTTTTTTCTTTGTTTGTTCTTTCTAATTCTTAATTTTCTCCTCTTGGGGTTTAAGTTCTATTTCAGGGGCCCATCAGACAAAAACGCCCCCAGCTATCCGAATTTGCCCATATAAATACGAGATTTTATATGTATTCTTCCGGGTTTGCAAGATAGACTTATCTCCACGTGGTGCACCCTGGGC